AAAAAGAGGTGTGAGACATTAGGGACACGAAGATGGAAAGGCAAAGCAAGAGCATAGGAGACAGGATTAATCTTGCGAAGGACCTTTAAGGGACCAAGGAAACGAGGAGCCAATTTCATGGAGGAGACACGGAGTCGGATATTCCGAGTGGACAACCCGACCTGGTCTCCAACATGATAAGTAGGAGCAGTAGAAACAAAGAGTCCGCTGGTGTATTAGGAGGGGCGCCTATTTGATCAGCTTGGATAGACTCCAATAGAAACGCAGGTTTATTTAGAAAAGTACAGTATAAAAATGTTTTTTTAAAAAGTTGCCTGACACTGGACGTCTTCACACTCATAGGGCTTCAAAGTAAACAGAAGAGCGAATTTATTTTAAGGACACGTGCATTTGCATATAAACAACATTTCAGTCCAACTACCTTGACATATTAAGAAAAGTTTGGTAATGGGACTGAAACGGTGAAAGTATGCTGTTGCACAGTTGTAAAACACAAATGATGTCATCTTGTTGATTTTTAAGTCATGGGAGTGTGTTCTTCACTTTGGCCGAGATCATCAACTTTATGATCTCTGTAGAATATTGCATATTCTATGTTTCTATTGATTATATGTGGATTGACAAAAGTAACAGATGGTCTAAGTCAAATGGCTTTCTTTGTCGGAGAAGTATGGAATGAAAGTTGGGGGTCTTGTCCTCCTTTGGCTAGAGTTAAACTCTGACGTCAGTATGGGCACATCTATATAGTTAACTGAACAAAGGGACACAAGGTCTCTCGGCTCTTCTTTCTGTACAACGATGTAACTCTTCCATCAGAAGTCCAGCAATTACCATCTGCTGTTGAACATCCATTATCCTGTAACATCCGTTGTTTTATTATGTATCAGTAACCAAGAATAAACTTGAAGAAACTGTAAATCAGATTGCATATTATTACTTTTCATTAATATAGATGTATATTAATGTTGCGAGCCTTTGACATATATATATATATATATATATATATATATAAATAAAAAAAAAGACATTTATATATTAACCAACTGAAGACAAGAAGAAATTAAGAAGATTTTCCAATCTCAGTCAATCCATTGCTTTCCTATGAGAAAGCCTTGGGAGGTTATTGTATACATGTGTCAAAAAGCTCTGTGGCCAACCAGCATCTCCATGGGGAGCGTACAGCTAATACACTGCCCCCCAAATACATTGCCCTCACTCAATTTAAACACACTGCCCCCTCCCTCAAATTAATACATTCGCCTCCTCCCTTCCCCTAAAATTAATACAGTGCCCCCTTCCTCAAATTAATACACTGCCAACTCCCTCCGCCAAATCAATACACTGCCCTCCCTCCCCACCAATTTAGCACACTGCACAGGAAGGTCCCCCAAACCCCTCTTCCCCTACCTTAAGATGAGCCACCAGTCCTCCAGTTCCAGCAGGCCAGACACTCCTCTAACACTGCGAGCAGGAGGGAAGGGGGAGTGGCTGGCCTGAGGGAGCACGCGATCGGCCGTGGGAGGGACAACAAGAATCAGACAGGAAATAGATCTTTCCTGACTTGCTGTTGATTGCAGCCATAACACAAAGTGGCCCCAGGGCAAGTGGGCTGCATGTTTGACATGCTTGATTTAACTGCATCGTCTATGCTCTAGTGCCCGCATACACACCTTGACATTGTATACAAAGAACACATTTAGTCACACTGACATCACCCACAAGGACCACTTTATGTATGGTTGACTGTGACAACATGATCTGTCAGAATGACAGTATGTATGGGACACTGTTGTTGTGACCTCCTCTCTGTATGGGAGAGACTGTCCACGACCTCCCGTCTGCCTGTATTTATGGGAGAGACTGTCCACCACCTCCGGTCTGCCTGTATTTATGGGAGAGACTGTCCACCACCTGCCGTCTGCCTGTATTTATGGGAGAGACTGTCCACCACCTGCCGTCTGCCTGTATTTATGGGAGAGACTGTCCGCCACCTGCCGTCTGCCTGTATTTATGGGAGAGACTGTCCGCCACCTCCGGTCTGCCTGTATTTATGGGAGAGACTGTCCGCCACCTCCCGTCTGCCTGTATTTATGGGAGAGACTGTCCGCCACCTCCCGTCTGCCTGTATTTATGGGAGAGACTGTCCGCCACCTCCCGTCTGCCTGTATTTATGGGAGAGACTGTCCGCCACCTCCCGTCTGCCTGTATTTATGGGAGAGACTGTCCGCCACCTCCCGTCTGCCTGTATTTATGGGAGAGACTGTGTTTATGGGAGAGACTGTCCACCACCTCCCGTCTGCCTGTATTTATGGGAGAGACTGTCCACCACCTCCCGTCTGCCTGTATTTATGGGAGAGACTGTCCACCACCTCCCGTCTGCCTGTATTTATGGGAGAGACTGTCCACCACCTCCCGTCTGCCTGTATTTATGGGAGAGACTGTCCACCACCTCCCGTCTGCCTGTATTTATGGGAGAGACTGTCCGCCACCTCCCGTCTGCCTGTATTTATGGGAGAGACTGTCCGCCACCTCCCGTCTGCCTGTATTTATGGGAGAGACTGTCCGCCACCTCCCGTCTGCCTGTATTTATGGGAGAGACTGTCCGCCACCTCCCGTCTGCCTGTATTTATGGGAGAGACTGTCCGCCACCTCCCGTCTGCCTGTATTTATGGGAGAGACTGTCCGCCACCTCCGGTCTGCCTGTATTTATGGGAGAGACTGTCCGCCACCTCCGGTCTGCCTGTATTTATGGGAGAGACTGTCCACCACCTCCGGTCTGCCTGTATTTATGGGAGAGACTGTCCACCACCTCCCGTCTGCCTGTATTTATGGGAGAGACTGTCCACCACCTCCGGTCTGCCTGTATTTATGGGAGAGACTGTCCACCACCTCCGGTCTGCCTGTATTTATGGGAGAGACTGTCCACCACCTCCCGTCTGCCTGTATTTATGGGAGAGACTGTCCACCACCTCCCGTCTGCCTGTATTTATGGGAGAGACTGTCCACCACCTCCCGTCTGCCTGTATTTATGGGAGAGACTGTCCACCACCTCCCGTCTGCCTGTATTTATGGGAGAGACTGTCCACCACCTCCCGTCTGCCTGTATTTATGGGAGAGACTGTCCACCACCTCCGGTCTGCCTGTATTTATGGGAGAGACTGTCCACCACCTCCGGTCTGCCTGTATTTATGGGAGAGACTGTCCACCACCTCCGGTCTGCCGCATGTTATGGGAGGGCTATACCACCTCCCGTCTGCCTGTATTTATGGGAGACTGTCCACCACCTCCGTCTGCCTGTATTTATGGGAGGGAACTGTCCACCACCTATCGCCTGTATTTATGGGAGAGACTGTCCACCACCTCCGTCTGCCTGTATTTATGGGAGAGACTGTCCACCACCTCCGTCTGCCTGTATTTATGGGAGAGACTGTCCACCACCTCCGTCTGCCTGTATTTATGGGAGAGACTGTCCACCACCTCCGTCTGCCTGTATTTATGGGAGAGACTGTCCACCACCTCCGGTCTGCCTGTATTTATGGGAGAGACTGTCCACCACCTCCCGTCTGCCTGTATTTATGGGAGAGACTGTCCACCACCTCCCGTCTGCCTGTATTTATGGGAGAGACTGTCCACCACCTCCCGTCTGCCTGTATTTATGGGAGAGACTGTCCACCACCTCCGGTCTGCCTGTATTTATGGGAGAGACTGTCCACCACCTCCCGTCTGCCTGTATTTATGGGAGAGACTGTCCACCACCTCCCGTCTGCCTGTATTTATGGGAGAGACTGTCCACCACCTCCCGTCTGCCTGTATTTATGGGAGAGACTGTCCACCACCTCCCGTCTGCCTGTATTTATGGGAGAGACTGTCCACCACCTCCCGTCTGCCTGTATTTATGGGAGAGACTGTCCACCACCTCCCGTCTGCCTGTATTTATGGGAGAGACTGTCCACCACCTCCCGTCTGCCTGTATTTATGGGAGAGACTGTCCACCACCTCCCGTCTGCCTGTATTTATGGGAGAGACTGTCCACCACCTCCGGTCTGCCTGTATTTATGGGAGAGACTGTCCACCACCTCCCGTCTGCCTGTATTTATGGGAGAGACTGTCCACCACCTCCGGTCTGCCTGTATTTATGGGAGAGACTGTCCACCACCTCCGGTCTGCCTGTATTTATGGGAGAGACTGTCCACCACCTCCGGTCTGCATGTATTTATGGGAGAGACTGTCCACGACCTCCGGTCTGCATGTATTTATGGGAGAGACTGTCCACGACCTCCGGTCTGCATCTATTTATGGGAGAGACTGTCCACCACCTCCGGTCTGCATGCATTTATGGGAGAGACTGTCCACAACCTCCGGTCTGCATGTGTACTACTTTATCTCATATACATTCCAATTATTGGGTAGGGTCTCAAGAAGCTGTTTAATTGATGTCTTTGGCATAAGGCTACAAGTTGACTAAACTGAAGACGGACATGCTACAGTGAGGTAAAATCTTTAGAAAAGTACATTATTTTCTCCCTTTCATCCTGTATGTCAACATGTAAGTGGATATTTCATCTTCTGGGAGGAGATTGGGGGAACCAAAAAAAACAAAAAAAAAAAACAAACCAAAACCCAAAACCCACACGGGACAATTCTGCATTAAAGATGTGAGGAAGGAAAACCGAATATTGATGATTAATAAACAGCAATCCATTAACCACTGCCAAATGAAAAAATGGCCACAATCTGCTGGAATACTGAGAAGCTTATGAAGACAAAACAGCAGCTAATGACACCCACCAAACCAGTCTAAAAATGTGATCACCCTAAAACAAAATTTGACTTGAGAGATGGTAGACCAGGATTTCCCAAACTCCAGATGTTGCTGAACTACAACTCCCATGATTCCCAGCCTATCCATTTCATTCATAGAACCATGGGAGTTGTAGTTCAGCTGAATCTAGGATCAGTTATTCATTGTTGGTTTAAATCAGCAAGAATACAACAAAGACTTCAAGGAAAACAAAATATTTTACTTGTAAAACATCTCAGGACAGTATAAGGAATTAAACAGAAGATTACGGCTAAGAAATACTCCTTCAAAAATACAGTGAATGTGTTTTACTACTTCCTTTCCATCATGCCAGGAAATCTCTTCTTGCTCATGCACTAACCCATAACAAGGTACACAGTGTGAACCCCATTAAAACCTTTGCAATAACAGGATTTGTTTTAGACTTCACTATGCCAGTGCTAACTAATTGAAACAAATTTGGGTTTCTAGAACAGGAGGATAAAACAGCAGGTGGTTCACAAAATTCTAGCCGCCCAATTTATAGTTGACATGGATCTCTGGCTTTATATCACAAACAAAGGACAGAAGGTTGTCCAACACCATCTCCTTGTTCTGGAGGTAGTTCTGTTGGATAATTAATATTTTATCGGTTGACTCCTTTCCAACTTCTTCAGAACAGCTACCCTGGGAACCCAAGACCTATAGGGAGAAAGTGTAAATAAAAATCAGGGTAAATATACTCTTAGCCCCCTAACAACCATTAGCACTCAACGTAATCAGAACAGTTAATCCATGCAAGCATTTACTGTAAAGGACAGACTATGGAATGTCATTGTGTTTTTAAACCAATTACAAATGATCAAGGATATGGCATTTAAAAGTTACACGTACATGTCCATCAAATCATATGGCCAGTTTGTGCATTACGTTCAGATTAAAACAAACACCGCAAATTTGAAGGGAAAACAATACAAACATATGGAGTTTTAAAGAGAAACTTGAAAGAACTCTTAAAAGGGACACCATAGTCACCAGAACAACTACAGCTTAATGTAGTTTTTCTGGTGAGTAGTCAGCCCCTGCAGCCTTTTTCCTGTAAACATCGCCTTTTCAGAGAGAAAAGGCAGTGTTTACATAGCTCCCTAGGGACACCTCCACTGCTCAACAATTCTGGCAACTGGAGGTGCCTCCTGGGGGATGTTCAGCATCTCCACACTCTGCATTGAAACCATGAACTTTCCCCATAGAGATGCACTGATTCAACGCATCTCTATGAGGAGATGCTGAATGGCCAAGCCAATCCTTGATGATCTCAGCCAATCCAATGTTTTTCCTATGGAAAAGCATTGAATTGGCTGAGATCATCAATTCTGATTATGTCAGCCAAGGAAGCAGATCGGGGCGATGCTGGAAAGAAGGCAAGTTTATTACCTTTTAAGGAGGGCAAGCCAACTAAATGGTGGTTTTAACACTATACAGTGAGGAATACACATTTATGTGCCTGACCATATAGTGTTCCTTTAAATCTAAAACGAAATAAACCACTCACCTTTCAAATGGCAGTTTGTTGCCTATGTACAAACTTTGCATTTGCTGCAGCGAAACCAGCCCACACTAGGAAGTAGCTGAGACCACTCAAACAATCCACCCACTGTGTTCAAAGACAGTACCAAGCATATCACCATAATATAGTTCACTAAACAGCAGCAGTTTCAGTTATGAAAAGATATGGATGCAAGGTAACAGAATAAGCAGCATGTGTGCAATCACCTTGCAAATAGCGCCAATCACCCTTGCATCCCAGCTCTCACTCCAAAAAGAAACAGTGGGAAACCAAGAGGAAAATGAAGCAGTGGATAAACCACAGCCTTCTGCCCAGCAGTTTCTCATTCAAGTGAATGCAATTTAATTTAATGAAAACTCACTCATGCGAAGGGAATCTGCTGGCAGACTCCATTTACTTGCACGAGTGGTTCCAGATTATATGGACACATCAGTAAGACGCCACTCACAGCTCTACTACACATGAACGCACTATATGTTCCAATGAAAGCAGTTACTGAACATACTGGCATTCATGTTCAATAATTCTACTATATTAAGCTATGGAAGAAGCAGGACCCCCCCTGAAAGATGTCAAATCAGTTACTGAATTACACAGTGGTAACTGAAAGATTATGCACATGGAGATTTGCTACAAAATGGGACTAAGGGGAGGCTATTTTAAACTCTAGTAACCGCTATTAAAAATCCTAACAAACAAGAGAAGTCTGTGAGATGTCAGTTTCATACATACAGCAGCTTCCTTAATCTTGAACTCCTTCTCTCTTTGTAGCCGATACTGCTCAACCTCAGCATGAGCCTCCTCCTTGGCTTGTTTCAAACGTCTGTTCTTTCCTGGATTTGGAGAATAGAAGAAACCGTGTTGCTCTACAGTTACAAGTTGACAATCAGAAACAAGTTTAAAGGCACACGCAAATATCAATACATTATTATTTAGTAGATATACCTCAATAAAAAGCAGCTTGTAAAAGACGTAGATCTCTTGTCTGTAGTTTATTAAAGCCCTCCCCTTCTAACCCCGCCCAGACTTTCTGTGGCTGACCAATCACAGACTTCCCAATGCAAGAGAACACACTTCAAACATAAAGCACATCAGCATGTTCCTTATATCTTTATATGGGGAGGTATGTGGATGAAGAAGTACAAAAATATAATAAAAATGGCACCTAATGAGACTTGCTGGAACAAGTAAATGAGGGAACGGTTTACACACACTTATAGTACAAAGAATGAGGGTTATAATTACACAAAACGGCAAAGTGCAATGGATATAAACATGAAGGAGGACAATCAGGTGTACGGTATACATCTCCATGTATTATTCATATAACTTACAGTATGTACTAAACTGGAGAGGAACAAAGGGGTTACCCAATGGAGAGAGGGTGAGGTGGTGTAGACTTCAAAGACAATATGCTGCAAAGTGAGCTCCCATGTATGTATTTTGGAAAAAACTGCACAAAATTTTCCTGAAGGCATGCAAGAGGATAATAATGATACCTATGTATTTTGTTTTACAACAGAAAGTTGATCCTATATGACATTTTTCCCTATATTAATACCAATTCCTAAAGGGGTGCAAAAGGCACCCAACATGTATCTTGTGAGATAAGAAAATTTAGGAAATAGTCCAAGCACCATGACCACTACAGCCCATTGTGGTGATTATGGTGCCAGGAGTGGCCAGATGCTGTCCCAGTGTAATATGTCCAACCTGTTCTGGAAGGTGTTGGCAATTTACCAGGGTCACGCTGAGACCACACATAACCTGCTTCCGGGGTTCTCCTTCAGGAAAACCTGGTTAGCTCTACTGAGCCAAGTAGGGCCACACAGGACTGTGCTCATTGGTTGAGAGCAGCAGCTAAGTTCTCTAATTTAGTGAGTGCAGTCTGTATGGTTGTGCTTAGGTCAAAAGAGAAATCTATCTCAGTACGGTTGCCTGGGGGAATCGAGGAAAGTTGCCAAACTTGTCTAAAATGGTTTAACAAAGTAAATTAGACTGCAGTGGTTATGTTATTCAAATTGTTCCTTTAAATGACAAAAAGAGGAAGCTAATCTTTTCTGATGCCTTGGTTCTGCATTCTGTCTTTAACATGGGTTTATTAATGAAAAGGAACATTTCTCTCAGATTTGAATCCTATATTACGTACTTATAAAGAACTCAAATAGAAAATACCCATTCTTATTTTTGGATTACATTCAAATTTCCACAAATGTCAGTTTGAGGGTTTATAGCAATGAGCATTGCTAGAAGTCTACAAACTCACCCCCTGAAAACGGACTCATACCATACACCCCTTCCCTTAGAAAGTTTCACCATCACATCATCATGACATTGCTAAGCACAACCCTACCTCTGTAAGTCTGACCACCTGACTCACAGACACCTTATAAAGAATATTTATTTCCCTAATATGAGCACCAGGTTGTGTATAAAAACTAATAATCCCAGTAAGGCAGCTCATTGAGCATTTCCACCCAACACATAAACCTTTAGATCTAAATAAAAAGCTGCAGATTTGTACTTCCTGGCAAGGGGGGGAGATTTAAAAAAAAAAAAAAAAAATGTAATAAATGCCTATGCTATTATTTGCATGTTTTGAAAACTACTATCTACATAGGGCATGGGGAGAAGGTTGCTTTTTTTTTTTTTTTTTTAAATCCCTTCCTATATTTATCTCTTTAAGCTGCTGGGCAGACATCACTGCAAATGATCAACCCATGACACCAGGGACAACCCAGTGAGGATAAAATAAACAAACTACCCCCAGTGAGGGCAAAACAAACAATAGCCTCCCCCCCCCCAGGGAGGGCAAAATAAATAATAGCCCCCCCAGGGAGGGCAAAATAAATAATAGCCCCCCCAGGGAGGGCAAAATAAATAATAGCCAGCCCCCCCCTCCCCCAGGGAGAGCAAGGGACAGCTAGTCTGGGCTCCCCGGGCCCCCCATGGAATGGGCCTGTCTGGCCTCCCTGGGCCCACACTGAGGATGCAGAGCGCAGCTGACATCTCACACACGGTATCACCATGGCAACACCGCGCTATATCGATAACTCACGTTTGCGGGCCTCCCCCACCCGCTCGGCGGCCCGTTTCTCGGCTTGCAGGAGCTGCTGGATTCCCGCTGACTGGCTCGCCATGACGATCACTGCGCTCCGAGATCACCAAGCCGACTAGTCACCCGGGCGGTCAGCTGACTCCCGACGTCATCAGAGTCACGTGACCGAGCCCGGCTAACAGACACGCCCCCTGCGCTCACGTCACGACTGGGACATGGTATCACGTGAGCTGTTCCTCCAACTAAGTCATGTGACCAGGCATCAGCCAGAGACAGGAGTGACTGTGATACTCAGTGTATACTGACTGGGCTGGGAAATTAAATAAAATACACTGGTCCAAGGGAGTAAAATGGTAGCCCAATCTGACTGTTATGATAATCTACTTCTTCTGACCCACAATATTATTTACCAAACTCTGAATTTTCATTAATTAAATCAGAATGGAAAAACTGACCAAAAAAAGCTGATTTGGAAAAAAAAAAAATCACAGCGTGACTTTAAGCACAACCTTTGGCCTCAGCTTTTCCATGCAGGTTTAATTTTTGAAAATTTTGAGTTTAGTGAATAACCCTGATGGTCCCTCCCTCAGCCCTCTATAGTCACTTCTACCTCTGTCCCTTACATAGTGGGTTGTGTGCTGGCTGTGCGTAATGTCTGTGATGTTTGCTAGCTGTGTGTAATATGTGTGCTGGCTGTGCGTAATGTCTGTGATGTTTGATGAGATGCTGATTGACCAGGGCTGTGTTTGACGTTTGCTGGCTCTGCCCCTGAACTGCCTCCTTGACAGTCTCAGCCAATCCTATGGGGAAGCACTGTGAATGGCTCAGAACAACACTTCTGGTAATGTCAGCAGACAGCTTCAGAGACAGAACCAGCAACTGCAGACTTGAATACAAGTTAGATTTTACTATATTTAGGGAGGCAAGAGAGGGCCAGGAGAGCTAGATGGTGTTTTTAACACTCTAGGGCAGTGATGGCGAACCTTTTTGAGCCAGAGTGCCCAAACCGTAATACATGCCAATTTTTTCCCCCTCAAAGTGCCAAAACGGCAATTAAACCTTAATACGGAGGTTTAAGTTTAGAAAAAAAAAAAACTCATACAGTTGTCCGAACTAATTAACATCTCTGTGTGTGTATTAAGCAGTTTGTGTGTGTGCTCGGCAGTCTGTCTGTATGTGTATTAAGCAGCTTGTGTGTGTGCTCGGCAGTCTGTCTGTATGTGTATTAAGCAGTCTGTCTGTATTTAGCAGACTGCTGAATACACACACAGACTGCTGAGTACACAGTCTGCTGAATACACACACAGACTGCTAAATACACACACACAGAGACTGCCGAGTACACACACACACACAGACTGCTAAATACACACACACAGACTGCTAAATACACACACACACACACACAGACTGCTGAGTACACAGACACAGACTGCTGAGTACACACACACACAGACTGCTGAGTACATACACACACAGACTGCTGAGTACATACACATAGACTGCTGAGTACACACACACACACACACACACACACACACACACACACAGACTCCTAAATACACACACACTGCTGAGTACACACACACACACACACACATACTGCTGAGTACACACACACACAGACTGCTGAGTGTACACACACACACAGACTGCTGAGTGTACACACACACAGACTGACCGACAGACTGCTGAGTACATACACATAGGATCAGTTGAGTGAATGACACACACACACACACACACACACACACACACTGCTAAATACACACACACAGACTGCTGAGGTACACACACACACACAGACTAAAGCAATACACACACACAGAGATTGCTGAGTACACACACACACAGACTGTGCTGAGTACACACACACACAGACAGACTGCTGAGGCCACACACACACACAGACTGCTGAGTGTACACACACAGACTGCTGAGTGTACACACACAGACAGACTGCTGAGTGTACACACACAGACTGCTGAGTGTACACACACTGCATTGAGGGTACAGTGTATGTGTGTGGGGTGATGTGTTTGTGTGTAGGGTGATGTGTGTGGGGTGATGCGGGATGGTGTGTGTGTGGGGTGGTGGTGATCATGTGTGTGGGTGGGGTGATGTGTGTGTGGGGTGATGTGTGTGTGTGGGGGGTGATTGTGTGTGTGTGTGTGTGGGGTGATGTGTGTGTGTGTGTGTGGTGATGTGTGTGTGGTGATGTGTGTGTGTGTGGTGATGTGTGTGGTGATGTGGGGTGGTGTGTGTGGGGGGATGTGGGGTGATTGTGTGTGTGGGGAGATTTGGGGTGGTGTGATGTATGTGTGTGGGTAGGGTGATGTGTGTGTGGGGTGATGTGTGTGTGTGTGTGGGGTGATGTGTGTGTGTGGGGTGATGTGTGTGTGGGGGTGATGTGTATGTGTGTGTATGTGTGGGGTGATGTGTGTAGGGCAGGGGTGCTGTGTGTATGTCGTCCCCCCTGCCCCCCACTGTTTTCTTTCCCCCATCCCTCCCTCAGTTTTTTCCCCCATTTCTCCCTCAGTTTCCTCCCTCAGTTCCCATACCTCCCTCAGTTTTCCCTCCCATACCTCCCTCAGTTTTCCCCCTCCCATTTCTCCCTCAGTTTTTCCCCTCCCATCTCTCCCTCAGTTTTCATTCCCCCTCCCCTCCTACCTTGTAGTGTGGCCGAGCGCACCGCGGAGCTCAGTTTCCTGTACCCGAACGGACAGGAAGTGCTCTCTCTGTGAGCACTTTATTTCCGTCCGCCCGGGTACAGGAAACATAAGTTCCTGTACCGCGGCGCGCTTGGCCACACTAGACAGAGTGCCTGGCAGGAGGGAGGGCTATGCGCTCACCTCCTGCCGGTCACTCCAGCTTTGCGCCCGCCGGGCCAGTGCGCCCTAAGGCGGCCACTTGTGCCGCCTTATGGATGTGCCGGCGGAGCGCACCCTCCCTCCCTCCGGCGACCTATGGCCGCGTGCCCACAGACGGGGCTCGGCGTGCCACCTGTGGCACGCGTGCCATAGGTTCGCCATCACTGCTCTAGGGTCAGTAATACATGCTTGTGTTCCTGACCCTATAGTGTTCCTTTAAATCAGTATTTGGACAAGTGCAACAAATTACAAATGTTGTTGTTTTAACATGAAAAATAACAGTTAAATTGTTGTTAGCTTAATGAAGCAGTTTTTGTGTATAGAAAAGTGGTTCCCAAACTTTTTAGGTTCAAGGCGCCCTATTTATTTCAGTATTTTTCCAAGGCACCCCAAGTCAAAATTTCAAGGTTGAATTTTCTGTACAGCGCTGTGGCATTTACTGGCACTATATTGTAATGTACAGTTTTGGTGTTTGAATGGATGCTTGAATACAATTATTGTGTTTTAATACAGAGGTGTGTTTGTATGTAATGTATTTAAATGTGGTCAATTATCTGTCATTTAGGAGTTAACTCACTTTTGTTTCTGTCCATGCAGCCACATTCAGTTCAACTGTTGAGTAATAAGTGCGTCAAACAATTAACTGAAACTAACAACTAAAAATAAAAACTATTATATATTTGACATTTTTTTTTATCAGCCTTGTGCATTCGTTTTTGGACAAATGCAAATTTGGCTGAATTTTGGGGGATTTGTTCATTCATCTGAAACTAATTGCTAAATGAAATTATTCCATGCAATTTTTTAATTTGTTTTTCTAATTACTATATCTACTGGTTTCCTCCTTGTTAATGTATTACCTTTGAAAATGAATCCAGGGGCAGCCGAGTGTGAAGGATGCGGCTGGGAGTGTAAATTAAATTGAGGGGGGCGTGCCAAAGCTGTTGAAAGGATTTTTGGCTAGACGGGTGAAGATTCATTTTGTTGCCCCCTCCCCCAAATGCATCTTCACCTGTATGTCTCTTAACCCCTATTTGAATTTCTTACACCTTTTTGTGTTTCTTATCCCCCTTTTGTGTCTGACATCCCATTTCATGTATCTTATCCCCAATTTTTTTTGTGTTCCTTAAATCCCCCTTGTGTGTCTCTTGCTTCCCCCCGAGTCAGTGGTGTATTTGGAAATAGAAAAATCCCAGGCACTCACTGCGAATTGTATGCAGGCAGATTTATTGCAACGTTTCGACCTGTCAACGTCTTTATCAAGTGGTGTATTTTGGACTTGTGCTGCCCTAGGCATTACAAAACTTGGACACCCTCTCTCCAATCTAAATTTGCCCCACCCCTTCCTTCAAGGCTGCACCTCTTGCTTTAAGATTAACATGCATTTTGACTGACAGACGTACACTGACACAGCCACTCACTGACATGCACACACTCTCAGATACACATACAGTGACATACATTCACTGACAGACACACATTGACATACACACACTCACTGACAGACAGACAGAAACACACTGACACACTCATTCAATAACAGACACAAACTCACAGACAGACACATTTACACATTTAGCAAGGCTGACATATCCTCACCTCAATGGGAGCATCCGTGCAGGCAAAGCATATTCACCTGGCAGATCTCTGCCAGGGTAAAATAGGTCCAGATAACTATATAATGTTTTAAATTACAAGAGAAAATAAAAATATACACAGATTGCGGTTTTCTATTTATGTTTAAAGAGATAGATAAGAAATATAACAAAAAGGCCAATCTAGTTCAAGTACAGTCGTCTGGCATACCCCGACCTGAATACTTAAAGGACCACACAGGGGCGTACCTAGAGCATTTGGCACCCGGGGCGGATCCTGTGCTTGGCACCCCCCCCACCCACTTCAAAAAAAAAAAACCTGTAAAATTTTAGTGTTGCTCCTCTTTTTTTTTACAATTTGTAAACTTTGCAAACCGCCAAGTCAGCCCTACAAAACCCTTGTCCTGTCCTGCACCTCCTACAAAACCTCTGTCCTGTCCATTCTACAAATCCTGTACTGCCTCGTCTACAAAACCCCCGCAACCCCCTTCCACAAATCCCCTGCTTATCCCCCCTTATAAAGACTCCTATCCCAATACAAAACCCCCGCCCCCTTCTACAAAATCCCTGCAGCCCCACACACACATTTACAGGCAGACAGCCACACACTCAGTTACAGACAGACAGTCACATACAGTCACAGGCAGACAGTCACACATACACATTTCCTCCGTGCGGCCAGTTTATCAGCTGTTTGCTTGTGTGAGCTGTACTGGCCACACGGCACCCTAACTACCATGG